TATATATATATATATATGGAATCCAGATCTTAAGAAAAAATTAAAATGAAACCTAGCCTTTAATCGCTAAAGAGGGGAGATAGCATTTGTACACAGCCATTTATACAGAAGTTAGATATTTCTGACTGCCAGTGATATAGCAAAACTGTCTTATGTTACCTGTTAACTGAAACTGTGAACCTAAGTGTGTTATATACATGTAGTACCATATGAAAAATAAGTGCGCAATTCAGCTTATGGTTGTATGCCAAACCCCCTACTAGCATGGCAAGAATAGTTTAATAGAATAGAATAGATAAGAATAGCAGTTACCTTGGTCCTCTTACCTGTTCATATATTGCATATTCACTTTTATCCTATATGTATACCAACGTTATTAGATTTAAGTAGAGATAGTAGGTTCGATAAGTATATCGTACACGTAGAACTTCATGTTAGCAAAAAGTCTTATATCACCACATTTTTCATGTCTGTTTGCAATTAGCCCTTGGGCATGAATTTGCAACAAACATTTTCTATTTCCCTCCTCGAGACCCATACCGCTACACGAAATTAACTTGTCACTGTTTGGGGATTACTGATGGGCTGTGGAGCCCGCTAAACGGCTGACCTCTGACCTCTCAAGACATGGCGCCTCACTTACACCTGTTAATCTATAGGGATCAATGGCGGACTTGTTACAATCTCCTGGCTTTGGGGCTTTGGCGCCTGCCTTCTGGGGTTTTTGGAGAGAGTCCAAGATGAACTTTGGTGTGTCGGAACGGTGGTGGTGTTTCCCAAGGCGAGAACGTTTCGGTGTAGTGGAATCAATGTAGTAATTATGGTGCTTCGGGTAGTTTCTTAGCCTCCATAGCATGGCAAAAACTGGGGGTTTTGGGGGGTCTTCGTGGTCTTTGGGAGCTTTTATGTGCTATTTTCCGATTGCATACAGACAACATAGCCTATAAACATAGCCGGCCTGTTTTTTTTGTAATCAGAAAACAGCCGAAGACACCCCCCCCCCCCCCACAGTTCTAAAAGCCTGCTACGGAGGCTAGTTGTTTCTTGCAATACTACAAGTCAAGCCGCGTATAGCGAGGAGAAGTTGTCGTCGTATCTTGAACCGTGCCTATCTAGGTCTGAGTCTGTAGGGATTATTGCAGATATTGTAGATTGTTAAGCCACCTAATATGTTGTCATCATGTTTTGTCTTGTCTTGTCTTGTCAGCAGGGCAAGCCCTTTGTAATAGCCACAGGCTAGTTGGGCTTCCCTGGATGTGAGGGTTGAACAACCAAACCAATAAATAGATGGGTTATTGTAAAGATCAGGTATATTCTCCGTCTCCTGTCGTTAACGTAGATTTGTCCCGGGTACAGTTTTTGATACCAGTGGACTATACAGAACTGTGCCTGAGCATGGTTCTGTATAGTCTCCACCAGACTCCTTTTGCGGTCTGAATAAATAGTTGAAATAGGCCTAAAATGAGGGGATATAATTGGCCAAAGAAGCTCTGTGCAGGCCAAAATGGAGCTTTTCTGACCGGCCACCTTCTTCAAGGTTCTGGATAAAGCACGATTCTGGATACAACAAAAATCTCTTGACTGGTCGTTTGCATATGGCGAAAAATGATGTGTAACAGTGTAAGCATGAAAGACGTCAACATACATTGCATTTGAATCGCTCAGGTGATAGAGCGTGAAGGTCAATATATAGGGAAATGCAACACAACGGCATGTCTGCATTTAGTTGTCCCCGCTGCGTATGGATTCAACTCGTTCCTCCACTGCACAATCAGATTGTACAATAGCCAAACGCAGACCTAGTGTTCTAGTGTTTCATGTCCCACTTTTGTATGTAATTGTCTTGTGCATTTCTATACTTATGTAAAGTCCACACAATTCAGGAGTACTACGTACCCCTGCTATGTAGACTGTTCTTAATAAAATTGAAAAATTGAAAATTGAAAAATATGTTGCTCTCTGTGAATTCGGTATTCAGTCCTTAGCGCCTCCTGGCGACATTGTTACAAACTGCAATTATTTGCTGGCCGGATCATCTCAAAGTTATAAGCTTCACTGATTTCAAATTCCCTATCTATTATACTACGGTACTATCATGCCCTCTATCTTTAACTGTAGACCATTGCAGGTGACTGGTGGTATGTTTGTAGACAAAAGCATCTGACAAGAGTCCTTGGTTTTTCATTTGTTCTTCTCATCTCGTCTGTCCCTTAGTCAAATTATTCGACAGTTGGGGCACATTTTTCTCCAACTTTCTCATAACGTTTCGCTTAGTGCCATGCTCATTCGGTCTCCGCATTTGTCAAAATTGCAATACGTGTTCGGTATCGTTTGTGGCTCTGTACGCAGTATAATAAAAAAACTGTGGATGGATATAATATAAATATATAAATGGTTTATTTGCAAATTGACATAAAACTAAAACAACATTGCAGCCTAATAATACAATGACATTGCAATGTATTGTACAAAAGGCTGAATTACGAAGTTTTAGGGAACACACAAAAATATCATTAATATTTACAAACATAGTCAAACAAAATAACAAGAATCAGAGTGATATTTAGGAGACTTAATTGTTGTTTTTAAGAATAAACCCCAAGAAGACATTGATTGATTGATTGTCATGTTTGGAAACATATTTTCCTTGGAAGTCTTACTACATTAATTGAACGGTGTTGCGTACAAGGCAAATTGACGAAGGTAATGTCCTGTCTCATAGCCATTTATCAACCGAGTCCTGCAGGTATATATTGTGTACAGCAACACTGGCGTTTCCCCTTAGGCCACACCAAGTAATTTTTATGGATGACGTCCGCATTGATTTTGGCCTGTTCCCTGCAAACAAAACAAGAAATTCCGCTTCTAGTAACTATGACCAAAGAGTCACGACAGTGGGATAAGAGAAGATGTCATTAAAGGTAAGTAACAGGACAGGACGACATGTACAACTGCTGTTTCACTGACTTATTGCTGTTTTCGGCGAGACTTGTTGGTTTTTACTTTGTGTTGTTGTTGTTGTCTCTGTTCTTCCGCTCATCACAGTCGGTTGCTAGTCTCATG